CTCCTCGACGAAAAGGGTTCCTTCTGCAGGGGCATGTGCGCTGCTGAGGAGAGGCGGGGGTCGGAGCTTGGAGGGGGACGGAGCCAGAGGAGGGCGGCGGAAGAGGGGGCACGGAGGAACGCGTGCTTCGCCCGTGGGCGCGGGGCGCTGGCCCCGCACGGCGGGCCCGGCCCCCGCGAGCGGCGGCGCCCCGCCGCCCCTGCCATGCGGCGCGCCTGACCTCGGAGAGGCGGAGGGGGCCTGCCGGCGGACCGGCCGCGGCGGCGATGGGCAGGAGCCACGAGGGGGGGGGCGGGGGCGGCCAAGAGGGGGGTGAGGACTAGGGGGGGGTGAAGATCATGGCGGGGGCCATGATGTCTCCCCAGATTTCATGGCGCCCCTTCTTGTTTCAATGCGTCCCTGGCCCCCCCGCTGGGCCGCGCACAAGCCGCTGGCCATGATGTGCCCCCCCCCCCCCCCCCCCTCTTGGACACCCCCCTCTTGGCCGCTCCCGAGAGGGGGGCGGGGGTAGAGGGGGGGGAGGGTGCCATGAGGGGGGGAGGAGGGGGGGGAGGGGGAGGAGAAGGAAGGGAGGAGCAGGAGGAAGGGGGGGAGGAGGAGGGAGGCCAGAGCAGCCCCAAGCTGCATCACCGATGTGTCAGTGCGCGTTCCCGTCCCGCGCTCGTTCCTGACGAGGGCCTGTAGGCCTTCTGCTAACTGCAGGATGCCCCCAGTGAAAGTTAAGCACCCGAAGGGCCTGTCGGCCGGGCGAGATGCCCGTACTGTTCAACGAGGTGTCCAGCGATGTCCTCGTTCAGTGCCACGCGAGGCTTCAATTTTGAGAAGGAATCGTGCTCCATCCGTGCAGCTGTTGCAACTGGTCAAGTTTCTGGCCCGATCTATTCCAGTTCCAGGTGAGAGCCCCACTTTGAGGCAGGAGCCGTGCTCCATCTCTGTAGCTGCTGCCAACCAGGAATGTGCGCGGCGGTGAGGCGAGAGCCTAATTTGCTCAAGGAACCGTCCCCATCCTGGTAATTGCTGCAAGCTGTTCAGACGAATGCGCGTGGTGCTAAGGCTCGAATTCCACTTGGCTCGATCATCATAACATCATAACTGTTGCAAGCGTTTGTGACGATTTTGCGGGGTGCTGAGGCGATAGCCCCACTTTGAAAAAAAACAAAAACACACCGCATGTCCATACCTGCGACTTCTGCAAATTGGGAAGACGACGGCGCGAAGGCGAGAATGCATTTTCAAATTCTTGACGCTACGCGTATCACCACCAACTCTTACTCGACGCTGGCGCTCTCGCCTGCGGCTGCTAACCAAAAGTATCGCCACCAACCGTGGAGTGCCTAATTCAGTCCGCTGCTCGTTAGCCGGGCTTCGACTTGACGCCGAGCGATCCGTCGCTACGGTCGCGATCAAAAAGTATCACCACCAGCCCATCCTGAAACAATGACCAGGGGAGTTAGTGAATCAGGGACGGCTGTAAGCATGCAGTCGCGCGGCCGTCTTTCAGAAACACAAGGGTCACACATAGCATTCCGCATTGAAGTTTAAGATGGACATCGGTGCGAGATACGACTCGGTGCTCCCCGCGGTAAACGTCTCCAGCGCAGGTGGCTGTATCCACCCTGGGCCATGACAAACAATGATCACACATAGCTTCCCGCAGAGAAGTTTAAGATGGAAGCCAGTGCAAGATATGCCGGGGTGTTCCCTGTGGTAAGCGTCTCTGGCGCAGGTGATTGTATACATATATATATATATATATATATCATTCGTCGCCCTTGTCGCACAGTTGAGAGTCGCATCCCCATCGGCATCCTTGATCTCTGCCCCCGCATTGAAGCTTATATATAACTCGCGTGCGGCTGCTGGTGATGGTGGTGGTGGTGGCGGTGGTGGTGATGCTGCTGGTGTTGCTGCTTGTGGTGCTCCGCTGCCCTCTTGGAGCCATCTTGTAGCAAGTGGTGCTGCTGGAGCTGGTGATGCCTGGGGCCATCTTGGGGGTAAGAGGAGGAGGAGGAAGAGGAGGAGGAGAAAGAGGAGGAGCAGGAGGAGAAAGAGGCGGAGGCGGAGGAGGAGGAGGAGGAGGAACAGAACAGGAGAAGGGGAAGGAGAAGGAGGAGGAGCAGGAGGAACGCGGCGCGAGGAAGATGAAGAGGAGCAGGGAGGCGTCAGGAAAGAAGCAAGGAAGGAACGGACGATGACAAGGATGATGAGAAGTCGGGCTTTGGTCATATGGGATATGTCGTGGTGAGGGGTGCTTCGAAGACTCGTAATGCCATTTGGGCGCCATCTTGGGGTCTCCTTTGGGTCCTCTGGGGACGTTCTTGGGGCCTTCTTGGAAATTTGTTTATGGGTCTTGGAGCCCTCTTGGGGCTCTTTCGGGGGTCTGGAGGGCCTCTTGGGACCGTCTTGGACCCCTGCGCTCACAAAGAGGGGGGTCTTAAAACTCAGGTCCCCCCCTCTCGGAGGCCCAACAGGGGCGTCTTGGGGCCCTCTTGGACCGCTCGTGGGGCGCTCTTGGGCGCTCTGAGGGCCGTCTTGGGGCCCTTTTGGGCATCTCTTGGAGCTAGTTGGACCATCTTGGGGCCATCTTCTCAAGAGCCCATCGGAAGCGAACAAACGAAAAGGAAACGAACATTGATGTTGAGTAGCTTTTGAACCCATGTTGGCCTCTTGGTGTGGTCCTTGGAGGGCTCGGAGGTCACTTGAAACCAGTTTAAGGCCGTCTTGGGGCTTCTTGGGTGCGTGTCGGAGGCTATCTTGAGCAATCTCAAAATATCTTGGGCCATCTTGGAGGCCATCTTTGGGCTATCTGAAATCCTCTTGGAGCTATCTTGGGCCATCTTGGGGGGAGGTAAACCTCCCGAGCGCGGAAAGGAAGGAGGTTGGAAAGGAAACCCTCTAGACCACCTGCGCCTAGAGGGCTGGTGGAATTTCACCCCTTCAACCCGTGTAGCTGCATCACATTTCCAGCTATGGTGAGGGGGGCTCCGGGGAAACACCACATCCGCCCTACCGACACATCTTGGGGTGCAGCAGGGAACAGTTATTTCGAAAAACAGACATGGAGGAGAAGGAGGAGGGACGCGAGAAGGCGGAGGAGGAGAGAAGGGAGGGGGGATAAGAGGAGGAGGAGGAGGAGGAGGAGGAGGAGGAGGGGAAAGAAGGAGGAGGAGAGGAGGCAGGAGGGCGTTGACGAGGAGGAAGGGAATGGGGAGTACAGAGTACAGCAATTGTTCACGGGACGTGGGAACCAGCTTACCAAAGCGGTTGGTCGGGGGGTTCTTTGAGCACCGATTGCAGTTGGCTCCCCCGTGCCTTACCAACCCAGGGCAGCCCCTTAAGATTCTTGCCTGCAGAGCGGAGCGCGTTCGTCGCGTAAGCAATACAGCACATAACATACGGCCACGCGAAAGCATTTTCGGACACACGGGTTTGCACCAATGTGGACGCAAACCTCCGCATCGAACGTCTACGTTTAAATCGGGCCTGTCCCTCTACAGGGGGAATATCCAAAAATAGTCAACAAATAGTCTGGGGACGTTTTTTTTTATTCATTGACAATTTAGGAATATTTTCTGACCATGTTTTTCCTCCAAAATCCCCCTGTAGGGGGACAGGCCCGACTTAAGTCTACGTGTAGCATTGGTGCACGCGTCTGTGAACAAGAGTGCCAGAGCCTCCAGCGCGGAGTGGTGAGAAGAGCAAGCTAATGCACTGTTCTTGTCCCTTCCACGCATCTCTGGCACTCCTGGCCGGCCCCGCCAGCAGGCTTTCGCGCCAGCGCGCGCTGTTGGCCCACGGATCGCAGCAAGCTTGCAAACAGCTCGGACGCATTCGGCAGGCAGCCCTGTTGATACGAATTCGCTTCGACCCAGGTATATCGGGGGTAGATAGACTTCCTACCCTGACACGTCGATTAGTGAATTGGCCGTTTTCGGTTCGCGAGAGGGCGTCGCGGCCGTCAGTTTTGCGGGTCCAGGTCCGTCGGTGTCGGTCCCAGGCCGCTTTCACTAAGGGGAGGTTTATTAAAGGGAGGTTTGTCCACCGCCGAGTATATCCTCGGGCCCTGTCGTGGCGGCCATGGCCGGGGGGGGGATGCTGAAGAGGGAGAAGGGGAGCTGGGCCATCCCAAGCTCACAAGGCTGGGCTCCGAGAAGGTCGTGGTCTACGGGCACCCTCCCCTCCCCTCTCCTCATCCCCTCGTTTTCTCTCACCCTCCGCCTCCTTCCGTCAGTCACTCCTTCCTTGTATCTCACCCCCCTTTGTCCTCATCCAGTTGTTCTTTTTCGACTCGCACCCTGCGATGGCCAACGATTCAAGTCGGTTCGCCAGGGCTTGGCGTGCCAGGATGCATCAGGCGCACGCTGTACAGCCAACCCTTCCTGGGAGACCGACCCCGTCTCTGCTTCCTACCCCCCGCCCCACCCTATCCACTGCTGTCCATCCCTGCTCCCTCACATCCAGCCTTCACCTCCGCATTGCTTAGTTTCACCTTCCCCACTCAGACACCCCCCCCTCCTCGACTCCGTTTCCCCCCTCCGCCCTGCTCCCCCCCATCCTTCCCTCCCACTTCCCCACCCCCCTTCTCTGGGCATTGGCCCAAGGATCAGGTTTCGTCGAACCGAGCTAAGCACTCGTAATCCGCCCCGTTTCGTATGGCACCGCGACGGGGTTCTTTCCATCCCATTTCTCCCTCCCTGCGGGGCCGACGCCGAACAAGCAGCAGGGGGAACGGGGGCGGGTGCGAAACTCCATGGATGCGGTTAGCTTCGGCCCCGCCGCCCAGCACACCAGTCGACACACGACAGCTTCGAGTACCTCTCAGCGCCGGAAGCACCAGCTGCATGCAGCTGACTCGGCACCCCCGTGTTGCTATCCCCACTGTTCGTCCCCCCCGCTCCTCCCCATCCATTCCTCCCCACCACCTCCCCCCCTTTCCTGCCCCCCTGCCCCTTCTCCCCTCCTCCTCCTTCCCTCCCCCTGTGGAGAAGCTGCTGGCAGAGATGAACGCGCCGTTGTTGAATATGCTTCTGCTGCCTATCATTATATTCGAGTCTGGCTGGTCCTTGCGGGCCATGAACTTCGGCTCCCAATTTGAGCACATTCTCATCTTCGCCGTGCTGGGCTCAGGGCTCGCGATGATCGTGGTGGCCTCCCTTATAATGGCAAGTTCAAGCATTCATGGTATCGCCAACTGGAGGACGGCTTTGGTTTATGCGTCCCTTATCGCGGCCACAGACCCTGTGGCGACGCTGGCGACGTACTCCTCGTTGAAGGTTGACCCTTTCCTGAACATCATCGTATTCGGGGAGTCTACCATCAACGACGCGGTCGCCATCACAGTATTCAACATTCTAAACAGTGACGCCATCTTCGAGAAACCGTGTGCGTCATTCGTCGGAGCCGTGGGCACGCATTTTGGACATATCGTCTTGGGTCTTGGGTATTGCGAAAACGCTGTTTGGATCAATGCTGTTCGGCATCGTTTTTGCAAGTTTATCCATCGTTGCCATCCGTTTCTTAGACATGAGGCACTCCCAGACGATGGAGACTCTTTTTATCTGGAGGCCTTCGGCCACTGCCCTTGGCCCCCCTACTCCAGGCATCGCGGGCGCTCTCGTCGCCGTTGTCGTCGTCCTCCTCATCATCCTGCTCTTTCTGACCTCTCCCCTTTCCTCCTGGCCCTCTCTTTGCTCTCTCCCTCTCCCTCTTCCTCCCTCCCTCCCTCCTCCTCCCTTGCATGTACGCTGCACCTCCCCCCCAGCCTCCCCCTCCTTTCTTCCTTCTCCTCACGGTGCTCCCTCCCCTCCTCCTCCTCCTCCTCCTCCTCCCCCCTCTGGGGCTCCCGGGGCTCTGGATTCTGTCTCGGTGGCCTCGCCTTGTTTCCTGGCGTGGGCCCCCCTGGGGGCCTGTGGCTTTCGGGGTGTGCTCCCCTGGGGTTCCTGGGGCTTTCTGTTTTGTTGCGGTGGCCTCGCCCGTTCCCTGGCTTGGGGCCCCCCTGGGGGCCGGTGGAGTTCGGGGTGGGCGAGGGGGCTCTTCCTCCCACCCTGTCTCTCCCCGCAGGCCGGGCCGCGTCCCGATGCCGAGCCGGGGTGGTGGCGGGGGGTACCCATTCGGGGAGGGCCTCTTCAAGTCATCTCTCATCGCCTCGCAGCTGCGCCCTGCGGTGGCATCCGGGATGTGCTAGGACGGGCGAGGCCCCAGCGGAGGTGAGCGGGAGTTCTCGCGCTGTCCATCCCCACTCTGCGGCACAGGTTCCGCCCGGCACGGGTGGCCACCAGGGCTGCCCTGGATGGATCCCCCTGTCCACCTCGTCCTGGGTCGGGACCCCAGCTGTAGCACCCTCCTGTTCTGGGATTTCCCGCTCCCAGGTATTTGGGGGCTGGTATTGCTGGGCCTTCCTGTGGTCGAGGTGGGGCGGGGAGGGTGCCCCAGGGGAGGTACCCCTGGGAGTCTCTCGGACCAAGTGGCGCCGTGGCGTTGCGGTACTAGACCCCCGCGACAGGTGGCGAGCTGCCCCCCAGCCATCCCTGAGTGGGAGGTGCCGCTAAAGAGGCAGTGCCCGCGGCCTCACCAGATTGCTTACCCAAGCCACCACCACCACCACCACCCCCACCTCCTCTCTCCCTCCGCCCCCCCCCCCCCCGCCCATCCCTCCCCCTCCCCCTCCCCCCCTGCTTCCCTCCCTTCCTCCCCTCCCCTCCCCTCGCTCTCCGCCCCCCCTCCTGGCCTCTCCCCTCCCTCGGCCTCTCGCCGCGCCGCCCCCCCCCCCCCCCCCGGGCGCCGCGCAGCGCGGCCGCAGGAGCCTCCTCGCCGCTGCGCTGCTCGGCCAGCCCAGCGGCGGTGGTGGCCCGCGTGCCCACGCAGGCCCCGTGCCGGCCGCCCCTCGGCGGGGGGGGGGCGTCCCGTCGTGCAGTCGGGGGCGGCAAAGAGGGGGGTGATGACTAGGGGGGGGGGTGGACATCATGGCCTGGGCCATGATATTTCCCCAGATGTCATGGCGCCTTTTCTTATGTCAGTACGTCCCCGGCCACCCCCATGGGCCGTGCACATGCCGCCGGCCATGATTTGCGCCCCCCCCTCTTGGACGCCCCCCTCTTGGCCGCCCCCGAGTGCAGTCGGCCCAGACTAGTAGGCCGATTCCCCGAAAATCTGAGAAACTATGGGACGTGGGGGGGAAGACAAAGCCCCGAAAATATCAGAAAAGATGATGGGGAATCTTTTTATTTGTGTGTATGTATTTGTGTGTCCCAGGGCCCCTTCAATCCTCTTATGATGAAGTCAGTCGGCTCTGATCAGCAGGTCGGCCCTGCCAAACCAAGGGTACCCTCGTGCCCTGAGTCTCGCGACCCCTGCTTCCCACATTCCTGTGGCAAGGTGGCCCTCGGAAGGGTCTTCGATCTTCACGCGTGCCCTGTCCCATCGAGTCCGACTGCAGGGCTTCGGAGGGCGCGCGTGTCCTGGAGCTCCCACACCCCTCGAGCAGCATCACGGGATCCGGGCCTCCCGAGCGGGTCCGAGCAGATGGGGTCGAAGGATCGCGCCGCATCGACGATGCTTTGACGATGCGGGGCGATTTGGAGGCAGAATTTCGATTCTCCACGCCGACGATGCATCGCCGACGTGGCCGATGCATCGGCGATGCATCGGCGATGCATTGACGATACGGCGCGATCCTCTGGCCCTCCTCTTCCTCCTCTTTCTCCTCTTCCTCCTCCTCTTTCTCCTCTTCCTCCTGGTCGTCATCATCAGCACAAGCATCATCATCATCATCATCATCATCATCATCATCATCATCATCATCATCATCATCAGCATCAGCATCAGCATCAGCATCATCATCATCAGCAGCATCCTCATCCTCGTCCTCGTCCTCATCATCCTCATCATCCTCCTCATCAGCATCAGCATCAGCCTCAGCATCAGCATCAGCATCATCAGCATCAGCATCATCATCATCATCATCAGCATCATCGTCATCATCATCAGCATCATCATCATCATCATCAGCATCATCATCATCATCAGCATCATCATCATCATCATCATCAATATATCTCCAGGGTGAAAATTACGCAGGGATAGAGAAGGGTACGCAGAAGGTGGGGAAGGGAGGAGTGGAGAGTGGGAGTGGAAGCGAGCTTGGAGGTGGAGTCCCAGACGTGGCAAGAGAATGCGTAATAATCGCGATCGTCCCGTCTTCTTGTCGAGGGGAGGATTGGAGAGGCGGGAGGGGCACTCTCGAGTTCCTCCGCCCCGTCCGCTCCCCTTGTGCTTTGCCCCCGCTGCTGCTGCTGCTCCTCCTCGGGCCCCGAGGCGAGCGGACCGCGCGCGGCCGAGCGAGGGGGCGCGAGGAAGGTGGGCCGCTCCTCCTTCTCCTCCGCGGCTGCGTCGATACGTCGACTCGGCTCCCGGAGGGGAGGGGAGGGGAGGGGAGGGGAGGAAGTGAGAAGGTCTCTGGGACTCCCCACATGTCTACGGATTCTTCCAGAGGTTTGAAGTAGAAAAGGCACGAGACACGAGAACACCAAAACTCGTCGATCATCTCACGTCGATCCTCCTTCGCCTCTTCCTATTCATCCTCCTCCTCATCCTCCTCGCCGAGCCGAGGCTGCCTGCACTCGTCCTTCGCCGGCAAAGGCTGGGGCAAGCTCAAGGGCCACCTCGGCAAAGTTCAAGGAGCAGGGCCACGCGCCCAGGGACGCCAGCTATCCAGCTGCTCGGATACATCGGGATTGCCCTGGCATCGCTCGGACGTGTGTATTTTTGTCACGGCGAGGACCCTGGAGGAGCATCCTGGACCATCGAGCAAAACAAACACGCACGAAACCAAAAAATGCACGGGAAATGGACGTCCGAGCGACGGCAAGTTGCCGGTATTGTTCTATTTGGGGTATTCAGAGGCCAGTAATGGGCCCCGGGACCGTTTACAAAACAATTCGGGGTGAAACGTCGGTCCCTGGGTAGGGGTCGAGAAACTCAGGGATTCGCGTTTTCGAGCAACTCGAGCCGCCGGATGTCTGAGTCTATTTCCAGCGCGTCCTTGTCCTCCCTTTCCTTCCTTCTCTTCCTTTCTTTTTTCCATTCCATTTACTCCCCGTCATCTTCCCCTCTGTCTCTTCCTCTCTCGCTCTCTCTCTCTCTCTCTCTCTCTCCTTCCCTCTCCTTCCTCTCATCCTTAACCTCATCCTCCTTATTATTATCCTCCTCCAGCCATTTCCAGGTCTCTGGGATTCCTCTCTGGCAGCGCACTTGGAGGTGGCGCAGCTGTCACGAGCCGCGACAGTTCGCCAGCCTCGCCGATGGTTCCGCCGCCGCCTGCCCGTGGGGGAGGTGGAGCTGCGCCCCCGCTCAAGCAGTGGAGGTGCCATGGGCGCTGCGGTGGGCATCGGAACCGAGGCTGGCGCACCCAGTGCCAGCAAGATGGGAAGAAGGCGCCGCCGTGGGTGCTGGAGCGCCAGAGCTTGCAGCCGAGCGAGGCCGTGCATCCGGCGCCGAAGGGACGCTGGGGCGAGAGGCTCCCGCAGACCACGAGCGCCGAGGAGGACGCCCGCGCGCAGGCCAAGCGGGAGCTGCGTGCAGAGCATCTGCAAGACCCTAGCAGGCACGGCTTGTCGGCGTAGCAGGCGAAGTCGGTCATGGCGTCGCTGGCCAAGACGCGGACACGGAGCCTTCGAAGGCGAACTTGGTTACGAAGTCGCTGCAGGACTTGCACCAGACTAAAGCGAGAAGAAAGGAGAAACAGCTCGAACGGACTCAGGAGCGGCTGTTAGCAGATCGAGAGGCGCTGGAGGCCAAACAGAAAGAGGTCGATGAGGAGTTGGAGTATCTCAAGGGCCACCAGGAGGCCCTGCAGGAGATCAGCGCGGTCATCAAGTCTAAGGAAATCGCGGACGCGGTCCCCACCCTTGGCATAGTCCAGCGGGGTGCCCCCCTCGACTCAGGCGAATCGCTGGAAATGCTGGGCTTCGTGGTGGAATTGGTGGGCAAGCTCGGGTCGTCGTCGCACCTCGTGGCGATCGAGAAGCCAGCCAATGAGTTTGGCAAGCTGTTCGGCGAGCAGCGGTCGGCCGCCCAGGAGAATGTCAAACAGGATGCCGAGGAGAGGGAGGCCAAGGCCGCAGAGGCTGCTGCAACTGCTACTGCGGCTCCTGCTTCTTTCTCCCGCTGGGCCTGCTGCTTCTGGCGGCGAGCCACCAGCCGAGCCCGACTGGGACGACCCCGCCCTCCAGGTGGCGCACAAAACCATTGCGGCGCGCGCGCTCTCTTAGCATCGCGTTGCACATAGGAATTGGGTTGCACAAGCTCACCGTGGTGCCCACGCACGAACACCCTGGAACACCCAAGCGCTGTTGCAGGAACGAAGGCATTATGGTGCCATTACGCTTTCGGGATCGCTGCAGTGCACGCAGGCGTTGCACAACACGCGTTGCACAGCGGGCATTCTGGTGCACACAGGCAGAGTAGTGAACAGGAGCATTGCGGCGCACACAGGCATCGTGGGGCACTCAAGTTCTGTGAGCCGCAATGCTTGGCTGCACCATGGAAGCCTGCAGCATCGGACAGCAGTTGGCCAGCCCTTCCCCCATCCCATCCCATGGGCAACGAGAAAGGGGGAGTGGCGTTCCGTTCCACGTGCTTCCTGTTGGCCATGCTGCCAGCAGGCAACTATGTCCACCCGCTGACTTCCGTCCTGGTCAGTCTTCTCTCCTCTCTTGCTCCCCGTCCCCCCCATCTTCTATCGTCGCCTCAATTTCCCCGTCCTTGCCCTCATTATCATCGTGTTCGGTTGCCTCAGTGCGAACACATCGGGTACCGTGCAGTGCAACCGGTAGTAAGGTAGTACGTCGCCCAATGCACGACGGCTTACGGTGCAAAACGTGCGGTACATATCATCGCTGGCAGTATCATCCGCTGTCGCACAGGAGATCCAAATCGATGGCGCGGAAACACATGAGCAGCGCAAGAGACTCGCACAGCGCAGTGCAAACCATACATGGCACTGGGGAGCTTTGCATTATCAGAAGTATTCTCGGCAGCCCTTCACAAGAAAAACAATGAACCGCACAACGAGCACAACGAATAGTTCAAACATGTTGCGAAAACGTTGTAACAACATGTCGAAACCGAAGAGCGCGTATGAGAACGCGCTGTACAAACATATTTGTACACCAGCGAAAGCACCACCAACGCTAGAACAATAACTTCATCCACTTAGCCTGGCGAAATGCACAACCAGTTCTGGGCATCGTCTTCGGTGGAGTTCCGCATGGGGTGGCGAAGCGCGTGAGGGGTTGTGCCAACTTGGGCGAGGGAACCGCATACCAATTGTGCAACCGAGGCCTTCGGTGGCTTCCCTATGCGGCCACGAAGCGCGCGAGGGGCGTAGCAAAATATGCGGCGGAGACGCGTGCAAATATTGCCAGTAGAGCTGGTGTTGCCCCCTTATTGGGCCACCAAACGTGGGAAGGGTGTGCCGATATGGGCGGGGGAGACGCATGTCAACCTTGCCATTGGGGCCATGGGTGGAGCTCCCTATGGGGTTACGGAGCGTGTAAGTAACGTTCCGTAAGTATTGGGCGAGACGCGTGGGAACCTTGCCATTGAGGGCTTGGGTGGACTTTTATGTGGGGCCGCGAAACGTGTGAGGGGTGTGTCGTAATGGGCAGGGGAAGCGCGTGCGAGTTTTGCCACTGGGGTCCTGGGGGGAGGTCCATGTGGGGCCACGAAACGTGTGATGGGCGTGCCGTGGTAGAGATGGGGGACACATGCGAACTTTGCAATTTGGGCCTTGGGTAGAGCTTCCTATGGGGTCACGAAACGTGTGAGGGGTGTGTCGTAATAGGCGGGGGAAGCGCATTCGAGCTTCGCCACTGGGGCCTTGGGTCGAGTTCCATGTGGGTCACGAGGCGTGTGAGGGGGCGTGCCGTGATGAATGGGGGAGTCGCATGCGAACGCTGCTATTGGGGCCTTGGGTGGAGATCCCTCTGGGGCCACGAAGCGTGTGATGGGGTGTGCCGTAATAAGCTTTGGATGCGCACGCGAACCTTGTCATTGGGGCCACGGGTTGGGCTTCCTGTGGGGCCACGTAACGTGTGAGGGGCGTGCTCCCATGGATGGGGCAGACGCATTCGAACCCTGCTACTGGGGCCTATCCTATGGCGGCCCCCCCATGGAGGGGGCACGAAACGTGTGTTGGGGCGTGCCGTAGTCATTGGCGGGGGAGTCGCATGCGAGTTTTGCCATTGAGGCCTTGGGTGGAGTTCCATACGTGGCCACGAAGCGTGTAAAAGGGGCGTGCCGTAATGGGCGGGGGGGACGTATGCGAACATTGCCATTGGGGTTTGCGGAGAAGCTCCCTATGGGACCATGAAGCGTGTGTGATGGGGTGTGCCGGAATGGTTGGTTGACGTTGGGATCAGCAGTAAGGAGGGGGAAGAAGGGGGAGGAGGACATGAGGGAAGCGTTGTGACTGTCTGTTCAAAGCGAGGCCCCCAAACGCCGCGCACGAAAGGTCAGTGTTACCTAGGGTCACTCGTGCACGAAGCGGAAGGAGCTGGCCCCCAGCGCTGGGCTTTGAGCAGTTGTGCGCCGAGTGCTCGGGCTCCTGGCCTTTTGGAGCTGGGCGCGCCTTTCTTCACGGGCCCGCGGGATTGCGCAGGTCTGAGGTTTCAGTGATGGCCCCGAGGAATGGCCGCCAAGACGTTACGACGAGATGTGTTGGATCACCAAACCTCCACGGGTTGCCTTAGTATCCGCAGGGGTAAATATTTGGACACAGGCACACATAATGTTTTACTTGCATGAGTTCATGTGAAAAGATGGGAAACGGCGGGGGAGACGGAAATCAATCAAATATGGAAAACATTGGAATCACGTAGTTGTGAATATGTATGTGTGTGTCGCCTTGGCCCCCAGTACAGCATATCCAGATGTTCTTCACGTTTCGCGTATCCCCACCAGCCTATTCAAAAACCCTGCCCATGAGAGTGGACGGGGAAAGCAAGAAGAGAAACATGTAGTGAAACAAAGCGGGTAGCCAAGGTGAACAGAGAGATTTGTGGGAGCAAAGGCGGCGGCCTTGGAGGGCCTCTTCGGGCCATCCATGGGGCCTGCGCGGGGGCGAGAGAAGGAGGAGGAAGAGGAGGAGGAGGAGGAGGTGAAGGATAGGGAGGAGAAGGAGGCAGACGACGACGACGACGACGACGACCCACAACACGACGAAGAGGAAGAGGAGAAACAGGAACAGGAAGACGATGAGGGCAAGGACGAGGGCGAGGACGAGGAGGAGGATCAGGAGGACAAACAGGACGAGGACAGAGCCCTAAGCATCGCCTCTTGAGGCTCTTCGGGGGGATCTTGGGGTCCTCTTGGGCATTTTTGGGTCCTCCTGGGGCCCTCGTGGGGCTCTCTTTGGAGCCTGTCGGGAGCCCTGGAGTGCCTCTTGGGGGTTTGCAACGTTTGCCCCTCCCACCCCATGGGGCCCTCGAAATCGCTCCTTGCGGTCCTCTTCTCTGGGGGCGCTCTTGGGCCGCTCTTTGGCGCTAGTAGGGCGGCCGTCTGGGGGGGGGGGCTTCTTGGGCAGCCATATTTTGACCATCTGGTGGAGGCCTCAAAAGCGCATCAGAAGCGAAAAGGCAACACGTCAAACATCATTGATGATCCATCGGTGTTTGAATGATTTGGGCGTCTTGGGATGGTCCTGAGGAGGCTCTGAGCGCACCTGGAACCGTCTTGTAGCCCTCGTCGGGCCTCTTGGAGGTACGTCGGAAGCTGTCTCGAACCACCGTCGGTTATGTTGAGTTGCCTTGGAGACCACCTTGGAGCATCGGAGGCCATCTTAGAGCCATCTTCGGCCATCTTGGGCGCCCTGACCGATCGCGGCCCGCCCCCCAAAAACCTCAGGGAGAGGAGGGGGTGGGTACCCCTCCCCCAAGGGAAGAGGGTCTTTGGAAGAGGGCTGGCGGGATTATCCCTGTCCCCCTTGCCCTTCCTTCTCCCCATCCTTCCCCCCCTCCCCTTACCCCGGCCAGACCTTCCGCCGGCCTTCAGGACTCGCTGCCGGCGCCAACGCCCTGGCCAGCGGCGGCGGGGGCATGGTCGCGGAGGAGCCCCCTGGCCCCGAGGACCGGCGGCGCGAAGGGGGGCAGGGTCATCCCTCCTCTCCTCCTCCGTAGCCGCTTTGGCTCAAGTTCAAACCAAGAGGCTTCGGCGGCTCGATCGCGGTCGCGGCCGTGAGGTCTGGGCCAAGGGTTCTTGCGCTTCAGGCTTCTGTCCGCTCGTGCCAGCCCACGGGATCGCAAAAGGTCCGCCCTGCTTGCACTCTAATCAGTGCGACCGCTTCCTCCGCATGTAGCCACAAGGCGATTCTTTCCTCGCGCCGCCATGACCTCTGACGAGGCCTCTATGTTTGGCAGCCAGCACTCTGATGACCCAGGCCCTCCAAGGAAGGGAGCGCGCAGTGAGGACTCCGGCTGGCTCCGCGAGATGCTCGATGACATCCGCTCGAAAATGGCCACGAAGTCCGACGTCGTTGAGGTCAAGCGCACCATTAACGAACATGAGGTCAAGATTGACGCGTGGACTTCTCGCATGAGGACAAGCCCAGCAACAGCATGGGAATTGCTCAAGATGCTACAGTTTCAGTATTCTCCGAGGCGGTCGACAGACAGCTGAAGGCAGTGCAGGAGCAGAACGCCAAGATGCAAGCAGAGCTCTCTGCCATCTCTTCCCGCTCACTTTCCAGCAGGTCGAGTGCTTCGGTCGCATCTCACGACGCGGTCCAGGCGAGTGACAACCGCAAGATCTGGATCGTTGGCTTCCCTCGTCCTCTGCCCGCCAGGGTCACGAACGCGCATGCAACTCAGCTGCTTCGCCAGCATGTTCCCACTGGAGTCACTGCCCCTCCCAAGCCCCACAACTTCCAGACCGCGTGCAGCATCGCGTTCGAGCCGCCGACATGCGCCAAGGACTCCTTGGCGTGCGCTCGCACACCCGGAGCGGCGTGATCCTCGCACCGACACAGACTGCCAGTTGAAGATGCGCATGGATGCGCCGCCCGCTGTTCGCAAAGTCGATCGCATCCCCTGCGCCCCCTGGCCCGAGGTCGTGGACGTAGTCAGGTCCATCGACATTTTTTTTGAACAAAAAAAACGCTACACGTTGGGGCCACAAGGGCATCGAGGCACCGCATGGCTGATCGCCAACGACGACGCCGAGAACCCTTGGAATATCAAGGGCGCCGACTCCACGCCGCTCGATGTTATCCCGAACGCCACGGCGCTGAAGAAGCTCGGCTTCGCCGACGAGACCATCAGCCACGCGCTCGAAAGTATCCCGCTGTAGGAGAGTGCCATTCTCAGCCAGTCCATTGCGAAGACCGCCGTGCAAAGTGCCCTCATCGGGGCAGTATGGGAGTCCCGCGCCGCGCGGGCGCGCGCGACGCAAGCGGCGCTTCTTCGCGAGCGGCAGTTGCCGATTCGCTCGAGGCCCCCATTTTCAGCCCAGCGGCTGTTTCGCGCGAGCATGCGCGGCGCCGGGGGGCTGTTCGCAGCGCCGTTGCAGCTCAGCCTGCCGCTCCTGCTGATTCGCTCGTTCACGCGCAGAGGGCACCTGGTATAATTTTATGTTGGTAGGAGGAGGCTGATCTCATATCTACGATAAAGAGACCTCGTGACAGCGCCCGGGGGCCCGACTGCATTCTTGATTTTCAGAGAAGTCGTTCGGAGGAGGGCAGAGGGCGCGCGCTGCGCAACTTGCGCGGGCATAGCCTGAGGAAGTGTTTAGTTTTCCCCCCCCCTGGAGCTCTCGGCGGTGAATCAACTCGTCCCGAAACTCGTCCGTTCCCGAAACCTCTCCTCCTCCTCAAAATGCAGCTCTCGCCGTAGCGCCGCGCACATTCGTCTTAAAAGTTCGTTGTAACAGTTGCAAGGATCGAGGGCTGGTGTGGTTCAACATCCAGCTCTCGCCTTAGTGCCGCGCACATGCGTCTTCGTCTTCGTCGTCGCATCGCTGTCGTAGTCGCAATCGCACACGTACTCGTCTTCGTTTTCGGTTTCGTCTTCGTCGTCGGACCTCCCGAACTATAATGATTTTCCGCTATTGTTTGGCGGGGTCGCTTTTCCGAATTGCCAATAAATTCGCCCGAATGATATTTGTGTTCCATATGCTGGCCATGGGATTTCTAAAGAGTTCCTTGGATATCCTCGGCGCTGGCGAGCGCCATCCTAAGATTAATTTCGGCCTCAAAATTGCCCTTGCTAAGGGCGGCGAGGAGCGAGACTCTTCCTTGCGCGCGCGCGCTCCGTCGGTCACGAGGCCCGCTCGCGCGCCTCGAATAAGCTCATCTCGCTTGCCCTGAGCCGCCCGCTAGCAGCCATGCGCGGATATGCGCGCGTCAAGGAACAGAGGGGATTTGCCGGAGGGAGGAACATGAACGACGAGAGCATCCTAGAAGTAGAGCATCGTGCTACGCACTGGTCTGTTCAGCGGTTTGTCTATAAGAGCGGCACCGCGGCGGACGGTAGACGTGCGCGCTGCGTTCCCGGGTTTGCTTCGCGATGCAATGTTTTCCATGCTGCGGGCCGTGGGGGCCCTCGGCCACTTCGTCCGCGCCATCCTATGCCTGTCATCGAATGCGCGGGTCTCTATATCGCATCGCGGCGCGCGCCCGCGCATGGGCTTCTGGCTCTCCCGTGACATCAAACAGGGCTGTCCTGTCAGCGGCTCACTCCTCGCGCTTACCGTCGACCCAGCGTTGCGGAAGATCTGCCCCCCATCGCCTCGCCCCTTTCGCAGCTTTGGGGCCTTCGCCGACGACGCGGGGACTAGCTCGGGGGACATCGTTGAAGCCGTCGTTTTCCAGCGCGAAGGTTTGGGAGCTGGCTGGGCCCGGGCCAGGCCTTTTTTGCCCATGCGGGGAAAACGATCGCAACGTTGCTGGGCCTGGCGGAGGGATATTTGCTGGCAGCACTTGTAGTGCGTGGGCCCCGGGCGCCGGGTCTTCGGCTTCTTCCTCATGGCCTATTTGAGCATCCGTCCAGGACCTAACCGCGCTGCTGAGCCCAGGGGGCCCGCGTTGAGGAAATGCGCCCAGAGGGCCCAGACGATCCGCGGCCTCGAGCTAGGATTGACCAAAGCGATCTCGCACTACAGCATGCTCGCGTTTTCTGCGCCCACGTTCATCGGCCAGTCGTTGGGGCCCTCTGCCCGCCGTCTGCAAATGGAGCGCGCTGGACTGCAGCTCTTGACGATCGGCTCGAACACTGCCGTCGCAGCTTCGCTGATACAGGGCCTGGCGCAGCTGGACTTCCTTCCATGCAGACGCCCGCCCCTAGAGCGCAACTGCTGCGCCGCCCGATATCGCGCTGCCTGCCATTCTCCTGCCTCCCGCGAAATCAAACATATGCCCGAGGGTTTCTCGGGAGACGATGAGTGTGTGATCAGCTGGCGTTCGCGCCCGTGGTGGCGAATCATATTGTGCTCTATGACGGAGATCTTAGAGTTTCTGACCAATATCCCCCCCAGTTGCCGCGCGATGACGTGCCCCTGCAGGAACAGACCGAGAGTGCGCTCCGTGAAATCTTCCCTCGATCCGTGAAGCCCGCGTTGTTTGCCCGTCTGTCCAAACATTAACCCCGTTTGTGTACGTATGATCTCGACCGTGTGTTTCTGGCCTTCTGCAGGTCCTCTGAGCTCGTTCCCCCTTCGGTCCTCGCCGCTCTTCTCAAAGCGATGTGCAAAGCTTGGTGTGATACTGCACGTTTCCGCAGCACCGCGCTCGAGCACCCCTTCGGCGGCCTGCAGGCTGCCGTCTCAGTAGAATACGTTTTCGAGTGCCCGAGGCTCGATCTCATTGGGATTTGCCTGCCAGAGCTCCCGCATGTTTTCTCTTGCCCGAGGTGCGACCCGAACTCAAATGTATAAGTTTTTCCCTCTAGCCGATAATGCTCTGGTGTCCGTTCTCTTGTATCTCGATCCGTGCCTTCACTGCTACCACGCGCGTCGCCACCGCCGTGGCCCCCCAGTCGCGATTGCAGGGGCGAGGTTCCAGCAGGTGCGCGGACAGCGGCCCTTCGCTGGCTGTCCTCATCGGCCCGCCCCCCGAGGCGCCTGCGGGATGGTAGGGCGCGGGACTCTTTGCCCTCGTTTCGCTTCTTGTCCGCCTTCCCTCTTCTCGCCCCTCTCGTTCGGCCAGCGCGCTCCTCCTCTTCCTCCTCCTCCTCTTCCTCCTCCTCCTCCTCCTTCTCTTCCCCCTCCTTGACAATATCAACAGCTTCGCGACAGTGCAGCTAAGCGACTGCGCAGCTGAGGCGAGGTCTGTTTTCATGGCGGCCGTTTGCAACGTCAGGTCGCTTTGGACCTGCTCGAGAAGCTGCCCCGGGATGGAGTTGATGATATTGTCAAGATCTACTTTATGTGCGGCCATATGTTCCTTCAACTCGTTGTGGACCGAGTCGGTCGTCTGCAACTTCAGGTCGGCACGGACATGTTCGAGAAGCTGTTCCATGTTGGGGCGGTTGGTATTGTCAAGGTCGGCTTTGTGCACGGCCATCTGCTCCAACAGCTAGCGGTAGACCTGGTCGAGGTCTGTCTTGGCGGCGGCCGTAAACATCTTCACCTCGTCATGGATCTGGATGGGACCGCACTTGTGCACCATGTCGTTGGCCTTGTCAGGGTGGGCCGCGAGCCTCTCAAGCTGGGACACTCGCAGCATGAGCTCCTCCAGCGGCGGCTCCATGTTGGGACCGGTGGGCACCAGCTTGCCCTCGTCGCTCTTCTTTTGGAGCTCCTCCATGGACTCCAGATTCTCTGCGACGGTCTCGCAGTCCCCAATGAAGAAGCTCTGGTCCTTAGAGGAGCCGGCGCTACCCCAAACTCGGGAAGCCAATTCGTCCCTCGTACGGGCTACCCCTAACCCGGGCAGCCAATTCGACCCACCGCGCAGCGCAGCCGTCAATTTTTGCCACCCGGGGCCACCATGGGGCAAGACCCCGCCAGGCCGCCATGCCGCAGGGCAGGCTGCAAATCAGTACAAGGGAGGGACCTCTAGGTAGAGCCCACTGTACGCGCAAAGCCTGCCGTCGGCAGCATCGTGGCCTTCCGTGGTACCCCTAACCCAGGCAGC